TCTTCATCACCGAGTGGAGGTCCAGGTTCCGGCGGGACATGAACGCACGGGACAACGAGGCCAAGTCCCGGGCTGTGGACTCGCTCCTCAACTTCGAGACGGTACCGTGGGTGGTGGGGGGAGCTGGGCACTGCTCGGCACTGGGGAGCCAGTCTGGGCACTGACCCCAGCTCCGTGTCCTGCAGGTGAAGTACTACAACGCGGAGAGCTACGAGGTGAACCGCTTTAACGATGCCATCGTCAAGTACCAGGTACAGGTTGTTCGGCACCAGTGGGGTGGTTGGGGAAAAAGGAGCCGAGCCTCCTGACCACCTGCAGGGAGGATGGAGCTCACCATGGGTCTGGTTCGAAGGTGGCAGCATCCCAGAGGACTTTGCCTCTTCCAGGTCTCGGAGTGGAAGGCCAATGCCTCACTGGGCCTCCTCAACCAGACCCAGAACCTGGTCATCGGCCTGGGGCTGCTGGCGGGGTCCCTGCTCTGCGCCTACTTTGTCACCGAAGACAAGCTGCAGGTAAGGCTGGTGTCAGCCTGGGCAGCCCCTGCCTGAGGCGGGGGCCCCGGGTGGGCACCTCTCCCCCGTCCCTTCCAGGTGGGGGACTTTGTCCTCTTTGGCACCTACATCATCCAGCTCTACACGCCGCTCAACTGGTTCGGGACTTACTACAGGTAACGCTGGGAGCTGTGGGGGTGCCGGGGGTACCCCTCCCCATGGGCGCCTGGGTCAGGATGTGCTCCCCAAACCCTTCCCTCTGGTCTTCGCTCCCTACCAGGATGATCCAGAACTGCTTTGTGGACATGGAGAACATGTTCGAGCTCTTCAACGAGGAGCAGGAGGTAGGTGCCATCTTCCCTGGCCCTGTGGTCCTGCTCTGGGGATGGGCTGGCTGTGAGGACACGTCTCACCCTCCATAGGTGAAGGACGCAGTGAACGCTGGTGACCTGCGCTTGGAGGCCGGGCGGATCGAGTTTGAGAACGTGCACTTCAGCTACGTGGATGGGTATGGGGCGGCGGACATGGGGCAGCAGGGTGGGACGAGTCGAGCTATGAGGCCAGGCACAGGGACGTGGGGCAGCGGAGGTGGCCCTGAGCCCCTGTCCATCTCCCCCTGAGCCCCTCTCCATCTCCCCTTCCCAGGAAGGAAATCCTGCAGGACGTCTCCTTCTCTGTGATGCCTGGGCAGACCCTGGCCCTGGTGAGAGCGGGACCTTGGGGGTGGGTTCACTGCTGGAGGGTGGGCTGGGGGAAGAGGGGCTGGGAAGTACAGGGGTGGGAAGGACAGACCCCCAACAGGACTGGACCTTCCCTGCCCAGCCCCTGGCCTCCAGCAGCTGTGGGGTCTCAGGCATCTCCAAGTCCCTTTACCTGTCCTTGATAGGACAAGGGAGAATGGCTCTAAACTAAAAGAGGGCAGATTTAGATTAGATTTTAGCAAGAAATTTTTCACCGTGAGGGTGGTGAGGCACTGGAACAGGTTGCCCAGAGAAGCTGTGGCTGCCCCCTCCCTGGAAGTGTTCAAGGCCAGGTTGGATGGAGCTCTGAGCAGCCTGGTCTAGTGGAAGATGTCCCTGCTCATGGCAGGGGGGTTGGAACCAGATGATCTTCAAGGTCCCTTCCAACCCAAACCATTCTATGATTCTACCTCTGCGTGCAGGTGGGACCTTCGGGCTCGGGGAAGAGCACCATCATCCGCCTGCTCTTCCGCTTCTACGACGTGCGGGGCGGCTGCATCCGCATCGACGGGCAGGACATCACCCAGGTGAGGGTGGGAGGCCTCTGGGGACCGGGACCACATGCAGGCTCCTGTGGGCCTCGCAGCATCACTCGCTGCAGGCACTGGCGTCTCCCCGGGGCAGGGGTGAGCAGCAGCCCCCACAGGCCCTTTGATGGCTGACGTCTGTGCTGGGGGTGGAGCGAGCGGGGCAACTGTGGGACCCCGGGATGAAATGCTGGTGACTGGCCAGGGCTACCCGGGCAGGGCTGGGGTCCCCCCACCGCAGGGCAGGGATGCAGCTGAGCATCCGGGGGGAATGCTGGGGCGGGCACCCTACGGACGAGCGGCACGTTGGGGTCTCGGCTGAGGGGTAGGACTGGGTTTTGGGGGGGTGGGGAGGGGTCTGGCTGAGCCCTCATCCCCCGCCTCCCCAGGTGAAGCAGGCATCGCTGCGTGCCCACATCGGCGTGGTGCCCCAGGACACGGTGCTCTTCAACGACACCATCGCCAACAACATCCGCTACGGACGGATCCTGGCCACTGACCAGGAGGTGCAGGAGGCAGCCCAGGCTGCTGACATCCACAGCCGCATCCTTTCCTTCCCCGACGGTGAGATCCCCCACGGTCCCCGCCTTGCCTTCCCCTGCTGTCCCCGGGGTCCCCCATCACCTCGTAGCTGCCCTCGGGGCTGTCCTTGGGTGACATCCCCCATGGGGACACCTGCACAACCCTGTGCCTTGCTTTGCCTCTCCCTGCCATCTCTCCAGGGCTAAATCGACCCTCGGCAGGGATGGGCTGAGGCTGTGCCAGGTGGCTGTGTGGTCCCGGCAGGACCCCCAGTGCAGCAGAGCCCCGGTCCCCGTCTCACAGGGCATCAGCACAGCACGTTCCTGCCCTTCTGCCTGCAGGGTACAACACCCAGGTGGGGGAGAGGGGGCTGAAGCTGAGCGGGGGGGAGAAGCAGCGCGTCGCCATCGCACGCACCATCCTGAAGGGTCCCCGCATCATCCTGCTGGATGAGGTAACGGCAG